TACCTATGTATATATATATACCTATGTATATATATATATATGTACGGTATATACATGCATATATGTATGTATGTGTGTATATATGTATATTTGTGCATGTAAATATATATATATATGTATATGTGTATATGTGAATATGTGTATATATGTATATACTGTGAAACCAGCATCTTGGCAACCCACAGGGAGTCTTAACTCCGACTGCGGTTCTCTTAACCCCGACTGTTCTAAAGCTCCAAGCTCCAAATAGAGCCCCTAGCTCCATTTCTAGCTGCAGGCTTCATGTCTTGCTGCAGGTGCTGCTTCAGGGTGCTGCTGTTAGAGTGGTGTGTGCGCTGTGCGCTATGAAGCTTGGGTGCTGGTGTCCCTGCAAAGGGTGGCTGCGAGATGTTTATGGTAGTGTGGGTGTTGGACCCTGGTGGAGATTACGTTTATGCCGTAGCAAAAAAGGCAAGCGCTTGGTGGCCACCATAAAATATCTTATGATATCTGGGGTCTATGCTGGCGGAATCATATATATATATATATAATATTATTTTTTTTCTCTCTCTCTCTCTCTGTGTTTCTCTTCAATATTTGCATATGCATTGCCCAGCCCGTAGCTGGTTTAAAACGTGGGCTTTGGGGGGGGGCGGTGCACGGCAAGGTGCTGGAAAATGGAAAAGGGGCGCGCGGAAATAAAAATGTGGGAACATGTGGGGCTCAGATGGCATAAAACTGGTGTTTGGGCCTGGTGTTTCCAAATCCGGTTTGTGGCGCCAAAAATTGCTTCAGCAGGGGCAGAAACTAAGATCTTCTAAGTTTGGTGTCAAATTTTGGTTTTAGGGGCGAAGGATGTCAAGAGTTAAGGAGCATAACTGCAGCCGCCATCTAGGCTGCACACGGCAAAAGGATGCCTGCATATGCCTGCACCTTTTGAACAGATTGCTGCTTGGCTTGGTACGTTCAAAGCCTAGGGTTTCAGCCGGTTTTCAGCCCGAACAGTTGTTTTTTTGACGCCAAAAGTCGTTAAACAAATGACACCAAAATCTCTCCTCAAGAAGTTTCATCAAAATTTCCGAGCCCTAAAAAATGGTTTCTCAGCACCGAGTTTTCACCAAGTAATGGATTTTTGACATGAAACAAGTGGTTTTCCAACACTTTTTTTTTTTCCGTGCACCGGCCAGCCGATGCACAAAAAACGGCCCAGACCCACCCTTGCACCAGGTTTGCACCAGTCGGGAAGAATCGTGCACCAATACCCCCCCCTGCACCAAAACTGGCTAAACGTTTTAAGCCAGCCAGGGGGGTTAAGGGATCACTTAGAGCACCGGAAAGTGGATCACTTAGAGCACCGGATCACTTAGAGCACCATGGGATCACTTAGAGCACCAAAAAAGTGGATCACTTAGAGCACCAGAGAATCATACCTTTGGGGTAACACTTGGGGACACGGGGCTGGGACATGGAGTCAGGCACAGCAACCTCATCATCTTTCTTGCTGTCCTGCAGACACACGCACTGCACTGCTCTTTCATGATCAGTTACCGGTGGGGTGGGGTGGGGTAATAACGTTCATGTTCCTGTGCACACACAGGCAAGACGTTCCTGCTACGTCGTAACATCTTCGTCAAGTGACTTGCAAGACGTTCCTGATACGTTGTAACATCTTCGAGAAGAGCCCTTCTGAACGACAACGGGCTCCACGGGCTCCACGGGCTCCACGGGCTCTACGGGCTCCACGGGCTCCACGGGCTCCACGGGCTCTACGGGCTCCACGGACTCCACGGGATCCACGGGCTCCATAGGCTCCACGGGCTCTACGGGCTCCACGGGCTCCACGGGATTCAAGGGACTCATACGGGCTCTTACGGGCTCTGCGGGCTTGCGGCAGGGCTTACGGCTTACGGGGCTATACGGATCTACGGGCCCTAAGGGCTACGGGGCTCTACGGGCTGGGCCTTCTTCTCTAAGGGCCTTTTTACGGGACCTTCTTCTTACGGGCTTTGTTACGGTTACAGAAGAATGGAAAGATTCGAACGTACTCAACAGTTTCACAACAGAAAGTGAAACTCTCTAGATCTGAGCGAAAGGCAACAAAAATGCTGATTCATGTGGTAAGCAACAGATACACCCAACGATCAAAAAAAACATTTGTCAATAACCCAAATGGCGAAATATCGGGCTCAACTCCTACTAATTTACAATGATTTTTTGATGCACTAGTATTCAACAATACTAAGTATTTAACTCTTTAACTATAATTCAATAAAGATACTCGACATTATAGATATATATATATATACACATACATCTATACTTGAAGAATAGCAAGGCATATACATACATACAGATACTGCTTCTGTGGGAACCTCTTGCAAGTCTCCAGAAAACGGTTTGTGTTGGACACGGCAGCAAACAGACACTATTTTTGAGATGGTCTCTTGTCTCTCAACAGCTCTCATCAGCGAATTTGATCCCTTATGAAGATAAAGATCATGTTATTACCCCAATCAACATACTGTTCATATGGGGTGGCTAATTTTGATCCCTTATGAAGATAAAGATCATGTTATTACCCCAATCAACATATTCATTTCCCTTTGAGGTCTCTAACGCCTGCAGAGACATGGCTGTGTCTCAAAATTGTGTATGGAACGTTCAGCGGCGTTCAGGACGCATGGAACGAAGGTGCTTCGTAACTAGTCTTGTTCCGGACCTTTGGAGTGTGACGACATATAGGAAATACAGAAATAAACAAATAACTACATTAAAAAACAATAAATTTAAATTATATATATATATATGTATGTAAATTTATATGCATATCATACACGGTCATATACATGTCAAGGATGTGCATGTTGAAGGTACTCACGCTAGCTGTCTCCCATTTTCACTTCTCATCTGCGCGGCATCCTTGTTGTACACCTGTTCAACGCAGGTTTGCATTGGATGGCTAGTGCTCGTGCTCTAGCTAGAACACAACCGGTAGCCATGAGTATTTGACCCTTCTGAACGACAACGGGCTCCACGGGCTCCATGGGCTCTACGGGCTCCACGGGCTCCACGGGCTCCACGGGCTCTACGTGGCTCCACGGGCTCCACGGGCTCCACAGGCTCTTCGACTCCACGGGCTCCACGGGCTCTACGGGCTCCACGGGCTCCACGGGCTCTACGGGCTCTACGGGCTCCACGGGCTCCACGGGCTCCACGGGCTCCACGGGCTCTACGGGCTCTACGGGCTCTGCGGGCCTTACCGGCCTTACCGGCCTTACGGGCTTTACGGTTACAGAAGAATGGAAAGATTCGAATGTACTCAACAGTTTCACAACAGAAAGTGAAACTCTCTAGATCTGAGTGGTACGGATCTGGAACGGGTATGGAACAGGGATTGGAACGAAACGACCCACTCCAGCACCTACGTTGTAACGTCTTCTGTAAGTAAGTTGCAAAACGTTCCTGATATATGATACGTTGCAACATCTTCTTCAAGTAATTCGCCAGATGTTCCTGATACATTGTAACATCTTCTGTGCGTGACTTGCAAGACGTTCCTGATATTTGTAAACTCTTCTTCAAATAACTTGCCAGATGTTCCTGCTACGTTCAAACATCTTCATCAAGTCACTTGCAAGACGTTCCTGCTAAATTGCAACCTCTTCTTCAAGTTACATCCAAGACGTTCCTGACTAAATTGAACCTCTTCTTCAAGTAATCCAAGACGTCCTGAACGTTCAAACATCTCATAAGTCACGTGCCAAAAAGTTTGTTATGTAACTTGCAAGACGTTCTGACTAAAAGCAACATCTTCTTCAAGTAACTTCCAAGACGTTCCTGATACGTTGGAACAACTTCTTCAAGTAAACTTCCAAGAAGTTCCTGATAAGTTGGAAACACTTTCTTCAAGTAAAAGAAGATCGCATGGAATGTTATCTGTGATCCGAGACATATGACTGCATCATTTAGCATTCTAATGGGCTCCGCGCATATATGGAACTCCAGCGCTATTGTTCTCTTATGTTTCTTTCGGCGCTCTAAGCGATCCACTTTTCGGCGCTCCAAGCGATCACTTTTCGGCGCTCCAAGCAGAAACCCCCGACAGCCAGGGGCCTGGTTCAGCATATTGCATGTACATACATACTGTAAGCGACTGCTAAACTACATATAAAAAATAAATAAAAATAACCTAAAGGACATTTACAAAGATACATATATACAAAAACAAATATATGTAGATACACACAAAGGAAGACTGTGTAGATGCCTGGGTAGCACATAGGCCCAGTTGTAGAGTACAAGAGCGCAACAGTCACAAGATACCAAAATAATGCCAAAAATACACTCAGTATATATATAAATACTCCATTCCTACATTTATACATTCACACATTCCTACGTTCATACCTTCATTCATATTCATACATTCATACATTCGCACATAGATACATATACGTATATACACATACACGCACACACACACATGCACATATACATAGGTAGGTAGGTAGGTCGGTAGGTAGGTAGATAGGTCGATAGATCGACAGATCGATAGGTAGATAGATAGATAGATAGGTAGATAGATAGATAGATATCTAAACCAATGGAAAAGGGAAAGGTTGCATGCATCCATTGCGCCGTTTTGATCGTATTGTTTGTGAAAACTGTCCCAGCGGCAAGGGTTCATAGCACGAACCGTTCTTGTAAAAGAGGAAGAACTTGCGTAGCTATGCGTAGCTGTCCATGACACAATTCAGATATATTTAAATATTATTTTAGTGGGCCCCTACGTTTTCCATTTTGAGAACTCATGTTTATGGATATCCATGATTAAAAGCACGGGAATTTGCATTGCCATAGTCGATAGGCACCTTGGATCATCCCAGGCTTTGCCAACGAAGTGAGTGGCAAAGAGGGATGGTTATCATCTGCAAATATGATAAGTTTTTCTCTTAAATCAATTATAAAAAACAGTTGCGATTCGTGGGATGATCCTCCAACTACTAGCAGCTTAGCAGTTCCATTTCGGAATACCTCTGCCCAGGCCGTGCCACGAGCAACACATTGCAGGGATCGGAACATCATCTCCACTCTACGTTGCGGGAAAAGAAAACATGAGATCTGCAGGAGGATCTAGTTACGCCATCAGCAAAGGAACATTCCATACAATCATCCTTCATTTGCCATAGAAATTTGCATGTCCATTGGCATCTTTGTTCTCCCAACATTACCAATCCCTTGGTGAACCGCGAAGCCGTGGGTCGCACAGGGGTCTCTCACGATGCCACGTCAAGGGATGCGAAAGAAGCAGCGGGAGCGAGCGCAGGCGGCGAAGAAGGTGGGGATGGGCCTGGGGCCAAGTCATTGTGTTCCCCAAGAATTGGATGGTTGATTATGAACACATGGAACATTCGATGGATAGTTTATACATGAAAAACAAAACACATCGGTGCTTGGCCCCGTAGATTTTGACCCGTGCCCTTGTGGGTATGTGGGTTTATATGAAATTGATGATGTACCTCTATGCTATGCTTGATATATTGGGATCATCAGAATTCATGAGCAGGAACCCCCCATTCACCAACCATTGTTTTGTGGATTTTCCAAGAAGTTTTTGACTCATGTTTGAACAACGTAACGCAAATCCTACGATTTATCATCAATTTCCATACTGTACCAGTAGTACCGCACAAGGCGGTGGCGGAAGTTTCAAAGATAGGACACTTTAGGTGAGGTGAGTTGTTGTGATGCATGGATGGCAAAGCAAATCCATTGATGGACCGAAAGCTGGTTGGACTTGTGTTTTTTGGAGTGGTTGCAGTGGTCACCTCAACCACAACTGCTGGATGTAGTGTGGTGTAGAGTGTAGTGCAAAGTATTATTTGTAGTTGCAGTTGCAGTTGTAGTTGTAGTGTAGTTGTAGCTGTAGTTGATGTAGTTGTAGTTGTAATGTTGTAGCTGTAGCTGTAGCTGTAGTAGCCGTTGTAGTTGTAGTTGCAGTTGCAGTTGCACTTGTAGTGTAGTGGTCGTGAAGCGTGGTGAAGTGTGGTGAAGTGTGGTGAAGTGGAGTGTAGTGTAGTGTAGCGGAGTTGTATATAGCTGTAGTTGTAGTTGCAGTTGTATTGCAGTGTAGTTGAAGCTGCAGCTGTGGTTGATGTTGCTGTGATTCCAATGTTGTAGTTGTAGCTGTAGCTCTAGTAGTTGTGGTTGTGGTTGTGGTTGTGGTTGTGGTTGTGATTGTTGTTGTTGTTGTTGTTGTTGTTGTTGTTGTCCTTGTTGTCCTTGTTGTCCTTGTTGTCCTTGTTGTCCTTGTTGTGGTTGTTGTTGTTGTTGTTGTCGTTGTTGTGTAGTGTGGCGCGGTTGAACGTCCAAAAGTGGTCCGGACGTGGTGTGTTTTGCACATTTTGGCTTCGATACAAAAGTGGTCCGACAGTGAGGTGCTTTGTGCATTTTGACTTGGAAATGTGCTTGGCGCCACAACGGCGTGCACTTTTTCGACATGGCAACTTCCAAAAGTGCTCCGAATGGTGTGTTCGCGCCACAATGGCGTGCATTTTTTTGACATCCCAATTCCTAAAAGTGCTCCGAAGCTGAAGTGTTTAGTTTTGTACATTTTGACTTGGACATGTGCTTGGGGCCACAACGGCGTGCACTTTTTCGACATGGCAACTTCCAAAAGTGCTCCGAATGGTGTTTTCGCGCCAAAATGGCGCGCACTTTTTTGAGATCTCAATTCCTAAAAGTGCTCCGAAGCTGAAGTGTTTTGTACATTTTGACCCGGAAATGTGCTTCTTGCCACAAAGGCGTGCAATTTTTCATCTCTCATCTGGCCAGATGGCTCCGCACCCGCCGCTTTAGTGAGCGTACTTTTCGACCGTCTGGTGCCACAAATCATTAAAAAAACACAGTGCATGGCAACTTGTCTACCTTTTCGAGCACCTGCATCTTCTTTCTTCCGACTCTTTCTCTTCTCTGATCCTCTTCTCTGATCTTCTTCTCTGATCTTCTTCTCTGATCCTCTTCTCTGATCCTCTTCTCTGATCCTCTTCTCTGATCCTCTTCTCTGATCCTCTTCTCTGA